ACCCTCCCTATCCCACCCCTCTAGGTGGTCACAAAGGACCCAGCTGATCTCCCTGTGCTATGTGGCTGCTTCCCACTAGCTATCTATTTTACGTTTGGTAGTGTATATGTGCACATACACTCTCTCACTTTGTCCCAGCTTACCCTTCCCCCTCCCCGTGTCCTCAAGTCCATTCTCTAGTAGGTCTGCATCTTTATTCCCGTCTTGCACTAGGTTCTTCATGACCATTTTTTTGTTTTGGTTTTTTAGATTCCATATATATGTGTTAACATACGGTATTTGTTTTTCTCTTTCTGACTTACTTCACTCTGCATGACAGACTCTAGGTCTATCCACCTCACTACAAATAACTCAGTTTCATTTCCTTTTTATGGCTGAGTAATATTCCATTGTATATATGTGCCAAATCTTCTTTATCCATTCATCTGTAGATGAACACTTAGGTTGCTTCCATGTCCTAGCTATTGTAAATAGAGCTGCAGTGAACATTGTGGTACATGACTCTTTTTGAATTATGGTTTTCTCAGGGTATATGCCCAGTAGTGGGATTGCTGGGCCATATGGTAGTTCTATTTTTAGTTTTTTAAGGAACCTCCATACTGTTCTCCATAGTGGCTGTATCAATTTACATTCCCACCAACAGTGCAAGAGGGTTCCCTTTTCTCCACACCCTCTCCAGCATTTATTGTTTGTAGATTTTTTGATGATGGCCATTCTGACTGGTGTGAGGTGGTGCCTCATTGTAGTTTTGATTTGCATTTCTCTAATGATTAGTGATGTTGAGCATTCTTTCATGTGTTTGTTGGCAATCTGTATATCTTCTTTGGAGAAATGTCTATTTAGGTCTTCTGCCGACTTTTGGATTGGGTTGTTTGCTTTTTGAGATTGAGCTGCTTGTAAATTTTGGAGATAATTCCTTTGTCAGTTGCTTCATTTGCAAATATTTTCTCCCATTCTGAGGGTTGTCTTTTGGTCTTGTTTATGGTTTCCTTTGCTGTGCAAAAGCTTTTAAGTTTCATTAGGTCCCATTTGTTTATTTTTGTTTTTATTTCCATTTCTCTAGGAGGTGGGTCAAAAAGGATCTTGCTGTGATTTATGTCATGGAGTGTTCTGCCTACGTTTTCCTCTAACAGTTTAATAGTATCTGGCCTTACATTTAGGTCTTTAATCCATTTTGAGATTATTTTTGTGTATGGTGTTAGGGAGTGTTCTAATTTCATTCTTTTACATGTAGCTGTCCAGTTTTCCCAGCACCACTTATTGAAGAGGCTGTCTCTTCTCCACTGTATATTCTTGCCTCCTTTATCAAAGGTATGGTATCACATTGTCTTGGTAGAGGCTTTTGGAAGTCTGATGTGCTCCACTTAGCTTCTGCCTGTGAAAGTCTCAAACTCAGAAGCACTGGAGAATTCCATGACCCTATGGGGTGAAGTACCCCAAACAGCATTTTGGTGTTGAGAGGGTAAAATGGCCTAATGAAGGCACTGACTTCCTGAATTCTCTCTATAGAATCCCTCTTCCCAGAGCTTTAAACTCTACTGCTCTGGTGATGGACAAATGAGCAATTTAAATTTGTTTGACTCTGAATTGAATAGTTACAAGATATATTTAAAGCTTTTTTTTTTCTTTTCTGAGATCTGGGATATGTTAGAGAACTAAAACAGATTAATTATCCATTACTGAGTTCCAGGAAACAGCCTCCCATACAACTAGTGTGCACTTATATGTTTGTCCAAAAACAGTTGAGGTGACAGGTATCAGCAGATAAAGAAGAATGAAAGGGCTAAATCCTAACATCTGAGACTGTGTCCTAAATTGGACTCCCAAAGAGATTCTCAGAGGACAGATGATCTTGAAAGGTATGGGAAGCACAAGTGCCTTCCAAACCTACCCTGTAGGAAGTGCCAGCTCAGCCCAGGCATGGAAAATGAATGGTGCCTCACTGGGTCATTGAGGAAGCCTGCAGCATCTTATAGAGATGGGGGAGATCCAGGGCACTGCCTAGCTCATTTACTTGCTAGGACGATTTCCCCGAATTTTTGAGGAAATTTTCTTTGGTTGGTACTGGGCAGCACATGGGAACAGGCTGAGGGTGCTGAGGTTCAGCCAGGTGAGCAATAGCCTAGAAACTCACCATCTGAAAAGCCTACATCAGGGGTCACAAACTCTCAGCCCAAGGGCAAAATTTGGCTCACAGATGTGTTTTGCACAGTGTTAGTTTTCAGTGTTTTTAATATTTTTAAAGTAATTGCCAATGTTTTACAGTGGACAGGTTTCATGTAAAAATCTAGATTTTTTTGCATGAGTTATAATGTAGAAAGCCTTGACTATCCTGGTCACTGCTATATCCCAGAACCTAGAACAGTTCCTGGAATGTAATAACTCTTTAATAAATATTTTTTGAATCAATGTTTTTTTTAAAAAAACAAAACCCAGTCCTATGAAGTAGGAATTATTGTCACCATTTTACAGTGAATGAAAGAAATCTCAGGGCTTCCCTGGTGGCAGAGTGGTTAATAACCCACCTGCCAATTCAGGGGACACGGGTTCGAGCCCTGGTCCAGGAAGATCCCACATGCCGTGGAGTAACTAAGCCCATGTGCCACAACTACTGAGCCTCCACTCTAGAGCCTGCAAGCCACAACTACTGAGCCCATGTGTCACAACTACTGAAGCCCGTGCACCTAGAGCCCATGCTCCACAACAAGAGAAGACACTACAATGAGAAGCCCACGCACCACGACGAAGAGTAGCCCTCACTTGCCGCAACTAGAGAAAGCCCGCGTGCAACAACGAAGATCCAATGCAGCCAAAAATAAATAAAATAAATTTATTTAAAAAAAAAAGAAATCTCAGAGAATTTAAGTCACTCACCTAAGGTCGCATAATTAATAAGCAGCAAAATATTTGGACTCAGGCATGTTGACTTCCAAAGCCAGTGTTCTGTTCACTACTCCACACTGCACAGCATCCTACACTAGTGGGCCTTTCACAGTCACAAAAGCCTTTTGATTTAGATTTTTTAAAAACAGCCGAATTGAGGTACAATTAACATACTATACAATTCACCCATTTAAAGTGTATGATGCAATGTTTTTTAATTTTATTCACAAGGTTGAACAATCATCACCACAGTCTAATTTTAGAACATATCTGTTCCCCCAAAAGAAACCCCATTAACAGTCAATTCCTATTCCCCTCTCCAACTCTCCCTCCCCCATTCCCACCTCTCCCAGCCCTAAGCAATCACTAATCTACTTTCTGTTTATATAAATTTGATATTCTGTAATCTACTGCAAAGGAGGCAAGAATATACAAGGAGAAAAGAGAGTCTCTTTAGCAAATGGTGTTGGAAAAGCTGGACAGCTACATGTAAAAGAATTAAATTAGAACACTCCCTCACACCATATACAAAAATAAACTCAAAATGGTTAAAATACCTAAATATAAGACATAACACCATAAGCTCCTAGAAGAGAACATAGGCAAAACATTCTCTGACCTAAATCGTAGCAATATTTTTTTGGACCTGTCTCCTAAGGCAAAGGAAACCAAAGCAAAAATAAACAAATGGGACCTAATCAAACTTCTAAGCTTTTGCATAGCAAAGGAAACTATCAACAAAATTAAGAGACAACCTATGGACTGGGAGAAAATATTTGCACATGATGCAATTGACAAGAGGTTAATATCCAAAATGTACAAACAGCTTATGCAACTCAATATCAAAAAAAAAAAAAACCCAACCCAATCAAAAAATGGGCAGAAGACCTAAACAGACATTTCTCCAAAGAAGACATTCAGATGGCCAACAGGTACATGAAAAAATGCTCAACACCACTAATTATTAGAGAAATGCAAATCAAAACCACAATTGGGCATTACCTCATACCGATCAGAATGGCTATCATCAAAAAGTCTATATAAAGATGTTAAAAAAAGAAAAAAGTCTGTAAAAAAATGCTGGAGAGGGTGTGGAGAAAAGGAACCCTCCTACACTACTGATGGGAATGTAAATTGGTGAAGCCACTATGGAGAACAGTATGCAGGTTCCTCAAAAAACTAAAAATAGAGCTACCATATATCCAGCAATTCCACTCCTGGGCATATATCTGGAAAAGTTGAAAACTCCAATTTGAAAAGACACATGTGCTCCAATGTTCATAGCAGCACTATTTACAATAGCCGAGACATGAAAATAACCCAAGTGCGCATCAACAGACTATTGGTTTAAGAAGGAATAGACAAATTAAAAAATTTGTCTATTCTGGAAATTTCATATAAATGAAATCATACAATATGTGATCTTTGGTAACTGGCTTCCTTCACTTAACATAGTGTTTTCAAGGTTCAGCCACGCTGTAGCATTTATCAGTACTTCAGTATATTGATTTATAATGTGTTAGTTTCATGTATACAGCAAAGTGATTCAGTTATACATTCTTTTTCAGATTCTTTTCCATTATAGGTTATTACAAGATACTGAATATAGTTCCCTGTGCTATACAGTAGGTCTTTGTTGTTTATCTATTTTGTATGTGGTAGTGTGTAGCTGCTAATCCCAAACTCCTAATTTATTCCTCCCCACCCCTTTTCCCCTTTGGTTACCATAAGTTTGTTTTCAATGTCTGTGAGTCTCTTTCTATTTTGTAAATAAGTTCATTTGTATCATTTTTTTAGATTCCACATATAAGTGATATCATATTTGTCTTTCTCTGTCTGACTTACTTCACTTAGTATGATAATCTCTAAGTCCACCCATGTTGCTGCAAATGGCATTATTTCATTCTTTTTTTATGGCTTAGTATTTCCATTGTATATGTGGGTATACATTTATATGTGTGTATATGTATATATATATATAAAATCACATTTTCTTTATCCTTTCATCTGTCGATGGAATAGTACTTCATTACTTTTTATTGACAAATAATATTTTATTGTATGGATACACCAAAGTTTATTTATCCATCCATCAGTTGATGGACATTTGTGTTGTTTCCACTTCTTGGCTATTATGAATAATATTGCTATGAACATTCATGTTAATTTAGATTTTTGACATTGTTTCAAAAGTTAGTCATTGTAATTTTTTGTGTTAAAAGCAATAATTTAAGTGGATACATTAAAAACCTACTGTATTTTTAGAAATTTCATTTTGGCACTTCATTTTTAAAAATATTGCTGAAGTCTCAAAAAAGTCAGAGTATCCAGCTCACTCTTGACCTCTGAGAGGCCCTGATGCTGCTGCCTCCAACAAATGAGCCCCTTTTATCCAGTAAGAAAAAAAACTCCTCAGAGTCAGAAAAACTGTCTTACACTTCCTGGCACAGCCATGATGCCTAAATATAATACATGCATTTGGTAACTATTTGTTGACAGTATAGCTCTTCCAGAAAGGATGCGATGGAGTGGGACGATTAAGTGATAACCAATGGGAGGTTGTGGGATGGGAGAGAACAAATTCTAAAGAACAAATTCTAACGCAGGTGTTTTCCTTCTGACCCACCGCCCCCTCTTTGCTGTTAGTCTGGTCAGGAAGATTTCTGTTGATGTAGTTCACTAAGGGATGCTAACTTAGATGGAATATGTAAACTAATAAGGACGTGAATCTTTGTTGAAAAATGGAAAATTTCTCTAGATCTTGACCAAGAGAAGGTCAGCATAGTGTTTCTCCCACAAATTGGGCCAAACAGAAGCTTCCTTTTAAAGTAGGATAGGCAGCAATCCCTTGTCTAATCAACCTGTGGAGTTAGCGAATGTCTGTGGCAGAAGAAAGGAGACAAAAAATGGAAAAAGGAGCAATGGAAAGGAGACAGCCGAAACATTCTGTGCGGGAAGACTCTCCCACAACTGCCTCAGTCTGGAAGGACAGGCAAGGATCTCTGGAATATTTTGTCATTATAGCAGTTTATTAATATGAATAGATACAGCTAGAAAGCACGAGGGCAAGGAGAATGGATGACCTGCTTCTTTACTGTGAAGCAACAAGTGAACCGATTTGGAAACACAAGAGGAAAATGGAGCTGTCGTGGAGCCCTGCCGAGTTCCATCATCCAGCTTTTCTCGTGTCCTTCCCCCCACCTGGAAGATCTTCCCTCCTCCCCTCACTCTATCTAAGGCTCGTGCTATCCCTGAGACCCATGACTACTCCAGCGCCCTTCTCCCCTGGACTCCTACAACACATCTTCTGTGTACCCCACAATTCCTACTAGATTAAGCATACTGTCTTTCAAAGGTTCTTATATGTGTGTTTTATAGAACCCTTTGTACACTCAAAGACAAGGGCCATTTCTGCTGCTTCTGCTACATCTCCCAGAGTGCCGAAGGCCTAATAGACCCTCTGTTTGGCCTTGCTGACTGACTGAAGGGTTCCGTTCAGGCTTCTTGTTCCTGCCAGTGATGCAGAGAGCACAATAAAGTCCTTTCATTAGGAAATGACAAAGTCAAAGATAGAGGGGCTGAGAAAGTACTCACACAGAATTATTTATTGTCTCAAATGTCTCATGGCAGCCAGATCTCAGAATCTTCAGACTTGATAGATGTGGAAATAATTTTGATGTATGTGATGGTGCTTTTTGGCTTAGTATTTAACTTGAAGTGTGTAAATTAATAAATAAAAACATGGATTACATGAGTCAGGAAAAGGGAAGATTTTCTTTTACATACTTAACTGATATCCCCCCAAAGTTCTTTTTTCCGCCATGTTCAATAGCTGCTAGGTGTTCATAGTGGAAATTATTGCTTTTTATATTTCTGATCGTAACAGTGCAACCAGAAGAGAGGATCTGATTAGGGGGAGAAAAATGGAGAGAGAAATTCATATTGGCTCTATTTTAATCACTGAATGTCCCAAAGCTGTTTAGGGTGTAAACAGCAATCAATATTTAGGAAAGAAAGCTGGATGCACACTACTATGAGTTCTGGATCTTTCCTCGTGCATGGCAGTTTTTTGGGTATTGTGTGGTCTTACGGGATCCCAGCTTAGGATACAGATAACAGTTTGTAACTCTCCCGTGATGCCTTAATCTTTTAAGCATTAAGTACATTAAGGAGGCTCATGAGAATTGCTACTCAGCCTTGTGAAACTGCAGCAATGCTTCCTAGGGATCTAAAAGTGTTCACACCCACCCACGCAGTACAAGGTGGAAAATATTGTACTAGCTCTGTTTTCTTGTAACAGTCCAGTGACATGGCTTCCTTATTGCCTTCTGGGCTGCAGTTAAAGAACTTGCTCTAGAACAAGACTAGACTTGTAGATAGAAAACATCACTTAAGATTTTCTTTCCTCGATTAATGGGATTCTAGTTTGGGTTTCAAAGGGCTCCTTGTATAGCTTACAAAAGATTCTGGGTCTTTGAATGTTTCTATTCTAGTAAAATTTGGAGTTCTGACCTATATTTAGTATATGACTTTTCTGGGTTATGGCAAAATATGGACTGTCACCTAATGTGATGTCAATTTTCTTTAACCCTCTGTGTAAATGGTGCACATTAAAGAGCCAGGTTTACTGTTAAACAGAGTTTTCTTTATAAACATAATGACAAAGAGATACACAACATCAGTTAAAGAGAAGAATGTGACTAGGTCCACTGCTGCCTGTGTCTTGGAGCGAGAGAAGGGCTCATCCTAGAAATAATTACCTTTCCTTCTAGGGGAAGAGGACATGACCCTGGAAAAAACCTGAGTTTTTACTTAGCTAGAGATCTTGGTTGTCAGATCCAAATGGTCCCATCGCAATTCTTTTTTCCCGGGCAGTGCGCAGATCTTTGACAAGTGATGAATGACCTCTGCTTCTTGTGTTTAGGCCCGGGACTGGACTCTGTGACCAGGGATTTGGTGTGCGGGGCCTCACAGGCTGCAGAGAGATATTAACATGTGAACGCATGTGCAAAATGTGGTCTCATGTGACAGATCCAAAAAGAAAGCCTCTTCAGCCATGGTTTTATCAGAATAGCTCTGTGAACTACCATAATAAATAAAAGAATAGAATCTATGAGTCCAAGACCTGCCTGTTTTGACTGCAGTCAGCAGCCTAATGTGGAGAATACGCCTGAATTTCCCACCCAAGGCTTGGACCTCCACATGGTGATCTTTGGGGTTAGCCTGTGTTTTCTATGTCTTTATTAATATGTAGTAGTAGCAGCAGCTATGGGAACTGTAGTAGCAAATGACTAAAGAGCTTTATTCTTCATGTGTGCTAAGGTGGATTCACTCAGGGTGAACAGCCCCTGGGGACACAGCGCTGCTCTATTTTCACCTTATAAACCAAAGTAGTGATGGCCATGGTTGAGTTTGTACCTAGGTTAAAGCGTTCCCAGGAATCTAGCCTGTTCTAATGTTAATCTAGGTTTCTGTATTACTCTATGAAATAGTAAGAGAGTTATCTATCTCATTCCCAAATGTATTCTTAGCTTAGGGCCAAAGTACAAATGGAATCCCATTTACTAAACGTCTAAATATTTAAATGTTATAAATCAAGCTAGCAGGGATTTCCCTGGTGGTCCAGTGGCTAAGACTCCCACCCGCTGCAGGGGGCCCGGTTTGATCCCTGGTCAGGGAACTAGATCCCGCATGCTGCAACTAAAAGATCCCACGTGCCGCAGGATCTTCTAAGACTGGGCGCAGCCAAATAAATAAATAAATATTTTTAAAAAATCAAGCTAACAAACGGTTTTTGTTTTTTTTGCGGTACACGGGCCTCTCACTGTCGTGGCCTCTCCCGTTGTGGAGCACAGGCTCCGGACGCGCAGGCCCAGCGGCCATGGCTCACGGGCCTAGTCACTCCGCGGCATGTGGGATCTTCCCGGACCAAGGCATGAACCCGTGTCCCCTGCATCGCAGGCGGACTCTCAACCACTGCGCCACCAGGGAAGCCCCAAACTGTTTTTAAATATATATATATATTTATTGACTTGGCCGCACCGCATCTTAGTTGTGGCATGCAGGATGTATTTCCCTGACCAGGGATCGAACCCGGGCTTCCTGCATTGGGAGCACGGAGTCATAACCACTGGACCACCAGGGAAGTCCCCAAACTATTAACTAAAATACAATCACCTACATTGACAAAAAGACCAGGTTTGAATTTGGAATTTTTGCAGTCTTTGGAGCTCCTTACCAGAATGTGGTGGTGCAGGAAAACTGCATTATAAATAAATGCACCATGTTTTTCTTTTGTGATAAGATCAAGCAAAATAGAATACATCAGAATTGTGTATTTGCAGGGAGCAAACCTCTAGTGGTACTACAAATGGTGAATTTTTTAAATTTTTAATTAATTTATTTTTTGGCCATGCTGTGAAGCATGCAGGATCTTAGTTCCCCAACAAGGGATGAAACCTGTGCCTCCTGCAGTGGAAGCATGGAGTCTTAACCACTGGACGGCCAGGGAAGTCCCTTGTGTATGTATATATCTTCCTCCTTCATTAAATAAATAGGAAAAATTTTATTATGATGTCTAATGAATTTAATGGGATTATTTCTGATTTTTTATATTGGGTCGGCCAAAAAGTTCGTTCGTGTTTTTCCCATAAGATGCTACAAAAACCCGAACGAACTTTTTGGCCAACCCATACTTGACTATTCTTTAATTAATCTCAAAAGCCTAACCCCAAAGTTTGATATATGCCCACTTACATATATGCAGAGAGAACACTATGCCTTGTATAATATTCCTTATTTCACAAATAACTTACAATTTTAGCTACATATTATATTGTATTTTTGCTATTTAAGGAAAAAGAACCAACACATTATTTATTATCTTGTTTTTCATTACTTAAAAAATTGAATAAATCAATTGTGACGGGTCATATCATTTTAACTTTTAATTTGTAAGTCTCACCTGCACATGAATGTTTGTAGCAACTTTATTCATAATCATTAAAAACTAGAATCAACCTTCGGTAGGTGAAATGAAAAACAAACTGTGGTACATCCATACAATGCAATATTGTTCACAGACAAGAAATAAGCTCTCAAGCCACAAAAGACTTGGGTGAACCTCCTTGAATATGTATCGCTAAGTGAAACAAGTTAGCCTGAAAAGGCTACATATGTATGATTTTAATTATATGACATTCTAGAAAAGGCAGAACTACAGAGATAATAAGAAGATCACTGATTGTCAGTTGTTTGCGGGGAGGAAGAGAGGATGGAAAAGAGGAAGCACAGAAGATTTTTAGTGTGGTTAAACTATTCTGCATGATACTGAAATGGTGGATACATGGCATTATGCATTTGTGAAAACCCGTAGAACTATACAGCACAAGAATGAAACTTAATGAATACAAATTAAAAAAAAAATCATTTAGGAGGTCAGGGAATCCCAGGAAAAACCCAGACTATGACAAGAGAATATAACCGTAACCTCAATTTAAATACATATTTTTGTTACAGACAGTGTTATGATGATGAAAAATATTTTCAAGCATAAACATATAGTATATTAGAATAAAATTCTGTCTGGAAGTTATTTCAAAATGGAAATGTAAGCTTAAAAAATACATTAAATTTTCAACTTCAAAGAGCTTGTTTATTTTATAATTTTTTTAAATGGATGATGGTAGGTATCGAACTGTTATAGATTTAGTTGGATGCATTTTAAAGTGATGTAACAGTTTTTTGTGGGGTTTTTTTTTGTGGTACACGGGCCTCTCACTGCTGTGGCTTCTCCCGACGCGGAGCACAGGCTCCGGACGCGCAGGCTCCGGACGCGCAGGCTCAGCGGCCATGGCTCATGGGTCCAGCCGCTCCACGGCATGTGGGATCCTCCTGGACCGGGGGACGAACCCGCGTCCCCCGCATCCGCAGGCGGACTCTCAACCACTGCGCCACAAGGGAAGCCCGATGTAACAGTTTTAATTTAAAATATCAATATATATAAATGCTGGACTATGTAGATGTTAGAAATTAGATGCTTTGTGTCTATTTAAACTTAAAAAAAATATTTGATGTCAATGAAAAAAGGTGAAGAGGTGACATAGCTTTTCACAATTCTTTTAGAGGGTCCATGAGCAAAAGAGTTGGAAGTTCAACATCCTAGACAGCATCTTACATGATGTACTGCAGGACTTGGCAGACTTCTGTGAAGGGCCAAATATTAATAGTATATATTTTAGGCGTTGTGGGCCTGATGGCCTGTGTCAAAACTGCTCAGCTCTGCTATTGTAGTATGAGAGTAGCCACAGACAATTTGTAATGAATGAGTGTGGTTGTATTCCAATAAAATTTATCTGTGGGCACTGAAATTTGAGTTTTGTACAAATTTTATTTCAGAAAATATTATTCTTCTTTTGATTTTTTTCAACCATTTAAAAATATGAAAATCATTCTTAGTCCACAGGGCGTGTAAAGATAGGAGTCAGGCCAGATTTGGCCTGAGAGTTATAATTTGTTGATCCCTAATTTACAGTAATTTGGTAAAATAGTTTTACAAATTAGTGAGTCAGTAGTCTCAAAGTTAGACTGTAATCTGTCTCACATTTGCCAAAGCAAAGTCCTATATCCTTGAGGTCTTAAGCAAAATTATTCAGAAATGCATAAAGTTAAACATGAAAGTTCTTCTATTGCCAATAATGCCATTCCCCAGAGGCAACCTCTGACTTCAAATATTCAACTGTGCAGTCACACACACAAATACAACATATGTGGTTTTAAAGAAACTATATATAAATGTACATGGATTTTTTTAAAAAGGGACAACATATATGTTGTGCTGCAATTTGATTTTTCAGTTTACAATATATTTTCAACATCTTTCCTAGTCATTATTTTTAACAAGAATTCTTGAAACTTAGTCGACATTTGAGTCATTTCCAATTTTGAAATGATAAGCAATGAGCATCTGTATATATCTCTGTCTCTCTCTCTCTCTCTCTCTCTATCTCTATATGTTTGTACACATGGATGAATATTTCTGTAGGATAGATTCCTAGAAGCAGTATTACTGGATCAAAGATATCCACATTTTTATGTTGATGGGGTCATCCAAAAGTTTATCCTAGGGTTTCTCAACCTTGGTACATTTAGGGCCGGATAATTCTTTGTTGTGGGGCTGTACTGCACATTGTAGGATGTTTAGCAGCATCTCTGGCCTCTACGCATTAGATGCCAGTAGCATCTCCCCTGTTGTGACAATCAAAACTGTCTCTCGATATTGCCAAATGTCCCCTGGAAGGGAGGGGGGGCAAAATCATCTTGGGCTGAGAACCACTACCCTGGACACTTGTTTTTCTTTTTTCTTTAATTTCTTTTTCTCCCTATCCCCCTTTCAACAACTTATCATGTTATCCTTCCTTCAAAAAGGAAAAATGCTTAAAGGAATTTGTGACTTAGTATATATCACCCCTCTGTTATGGGATACATTGTGTCTCCCAAAATTCATGTGTTGAAGTTCTAACCCCCAGTACCTCAGAATGTGACTGTATTTGAAGATAGGGTCTTTGAAGAGGTTATTAAATTAAAATCAGATTGTAAAAATGGACCCTAATCTAATATGACTGATGTTCTTATAAAAGGAGAAATTTTAACACAGAATTGTACAGAGGGAAGACCATATAAAGATTGGGAGAAGGCAGTCATCCACAAGCCAAGGAGAGAGGCCCCAGAAAACAGCCCTGCCAACACCTTGATCTCGGACTTCTAGCCTCCAGAAATTGTCTTCTGAAAATAAACTTCTTTGTTAAAGTCAGCCAGTCTGTGGTACTTTGTTACGGCAGCCCTGGCAAATTATTACACCTTCCCAGTGTATCTGAATTTTAAATAAAGAATGAATGAAAAAGGCAATGACTTATCCAAAGGTATACTATCTAACAATGGGATTTGGTGGGGGAGATAAATTTTCTGAGAGGATTC